AAAAAAAAAAAGAGCAAAGTAATAGCTCTCATCATCATTAACATCATCAACAACAACAACTATAGTCTACAAAATCATCATCATTGATCATCATCATCAACATCAACAGCAAAAAAATATATAGCTATATCTATATCAATGATGTTGATACAGTGTATATCTATATATATATATATATCTCATATCGGAAGAACAATGAGGGCTAGAGGGCGACCAGTGGCGGTAGATCTGGAGACGAGGCAGCAAACGGAGGTGTGAGAAAGAGATAGGTGGGTGGTGAGTGGGGGGGGTGGGTGAGGGTGGTGGGTGGTAGATGGTAGCGAGTGGGTGGTGGTGGTGGGTTGTGGGTGGTGGTGGCAGGTGGGTGGTGGTGGTGGGTTGTGGTGGCAGGTGGGTGGTGAGTGGTGGTGGCAGGTGGGGGTGGTGGGGGGGGGGTAGTGGTGCCGGAAGACGGTGGTGGAAAATCGTAGCAGGTGGTGGCTAGTATTGGGTGATAAAAAATAAAAAAAAAACTCAAAATTCAAAACGAAAACACATTTTTTGTGTTTTTATTTTTTGGCCAAATTTATAAACTGAGACCATTGATTTATAAATCAAAAATTTTACCAAACAAGTTTTTATTTGAGTTTTTTAAATTTTTGTAAATATAAACAGAAAACTGAAATGTAAGTATTACCAAACGGCACCATAGAATTCAGAATGCTAGTTTCAAAATTTCAATATATACTTATGTTGATTTTGTTTTATCATAGATTTAACCTCCTAGAGAGAATTTATTATATAATCTAAAAAAAAATTGTGACAGCGAACATAGGAATTAGACCGGATTCAAAATTTCAATATATACTATTTTTTTATTTATTATTATTATTATTATTATAAAGAAAATTCATTTGATCATTGAAGCCCCATGCTTGAGTTGGTCATATGTCATACATAAAGCAAGTAATGCTGACGTAGGATAAGAATTTAAGAATTTTTATATTTTTAGTTTTAATATTTTTGATATATTATTTTATTAATTTGTTTTGATTTTATTTTTCTAATTTCTTAGGTTTCTTGTTTTCGAATCTATGAAAATAAATGACATTGTGATTTAAAGTATTAAAATGAATATAAATGTGAGTAGATGTAATGGTTAACGATATCCGATTAACTTGACTTTTTATAGGTATGTTCTACCTGATGTACTTTAAAATGTGAACGATTTGGATCATTAAACTGGATCTCGAAATGAGCCCATACGGCCCACACAGCACTGACTGCTGTGCACCAAGCACAGCAGGCATGTTTTCCAAGAATTAGATTAGTTTATTGTTTCCTAATTTGTATTGATTTAAGTTTCCTAATTTATTTTAGAATTACTTTTCTTACAAGTGTTAGGTTTAGTTAATTATAAATAAGTTTACGAGCATATGTAATGGATTCAACTTTTATTTAACTTTTATCCAATAAAATTAAGATATTTTCTCTTCCTTGTGAATTCAAGGTTCTATATTTTTTGTGGATTTGAGACCCCATTTCGTCTGCTAGAGCGATATCTAGTTCTCATGTATTTCGTTGCGTCAAGTGGTATCTGAGCAAGGTTTTGCCTGGCTCGATGTCATTCATCGAAAGAGGAAGCACAAGCTCTATTGACGATGATCGACATCGAGGAGGAAGCACAAACTCTATTGACGATGATCGTAGAGAAAGATCTAATAAGATTCGAGTCAAGGGACTTGTCCAAGACCAGCATATTAACTACAATGTCTTGAGACGATCATCTCGTTATTAACACGATAGTGAGGACGAATTTGAAGAAGAGTTATTCGAATATTATGGTAAGTATTAGTCGGTAAGGCGACAACAAAGATTTAGTGATGTATTCAATAGGAATAATTGCATCATTCATGACTTTTCATATTAGGGATTTTTGGTGAAATCCCCCTCCTCATTGGGCCTATTTTGTGTCCAACCCACGGAATAAAATAATGACCCCAAAAGCCCCTTAATTAAAAAAATATTATGAATTGACTGAAATGTCCTTCCATATAAGTGGGGAAATATGAAACAATTCCATAAAAGTAAAATTTTACTTTGAATAAGAGTAAAATGTTACACTCTAAATCTAAAAGTAAAATTTTACTCTGTATAAAAGTAAAATTTTACTCTGAAAAATGAGTAAAATGTTAGTCTGAATCTAAAAGTAAAATTTTATTCTGAAAAACGAGTAAAATGTTGGACTCTGAATCTAAAAGTACTAGAGTAAAATTTAAATGTCATTCTAACACCAGAGTAAAATTTTAGTCTCATTGTAAACAGAGCACGTACCAGAGTAAAATTTTACTCTAATTCTTTCAAATTTTACTCTAGTTCTGTCAAACGAAATCAGATCAAACATAACAAAAATAAATCAAAAAAAAAAAAAACAAACAAACAAACAAAACAAAACAAAACAAATTAATCAACAAATCAACATACCTAATTGAGAAGAAAAACCTCTAAAACTCGATCAACAGTCACAAATCTCAATGAAACTCCCGTTTAATTGAGAGTGTTGATCGTCGACGGCGAAATCATCTATTGTTGACCAAGTGAGAGATCTTCAGCTGCGAGATCTTCAGATTTGGAGATCATCTTCATCGATTTCGTTCCTGCGAGCTCTTCAGCTCAGATTTCAAATATTTCAAATGTCTGATACGTATATATTGAAGGACAATATTGTGATTAAAAAAAAAATAGAAATTATAAAATGTCCTTATTAAGGTAGGCATTTCCTATTCAGGGACTTTTTGAAAGAAAATTGATTGGGCTATCCTTTACCCTAATAAAAAGGCCCAAAAGGGAGATTTCACCAAAAATCCCTTCATATTATCAAGTACAACTAAAAATTCCCTATTTTAATGCTTCTTGTCATGCCAAAGATTTTATTTATTGGTTTTGCAAAGTTAACAAATTCCTTGAATGTGTGGAAATTTCTGAAGAAAAGCAAGCCAGATATGTCACATGTAAGTTACAAGGTTATGTTTCTACATGGTGGAAACAATTGCAGTATGATCGAAGGCGACAATACAAACAACCTATTAGGACATGGCATAAAATGAGGTAGTTGATAAGTTTTAGATTCCTTCAATCAAATCATGGGCAAATGTTGTATTA